AAAAAACTTAAAACTTTTTTTTGTATTATTGAATTTGATTGGCCGATTTTTCATGTTCGGAAAGTTAGGTCGGATTTCGGGTTGCACAAAATTTTTCGATTCGCCAAAGATTCGAAAAAATAGGTCACGTGACCTTTATTCGTTTTAATTGGCTAATAAGCCAGGATATATAAGTTATATATCTCTGGCCAGAGATGCCTAGAAAAACCCTTAGTCGAACACATGTTTTTTTTAGTTATGTGCAGTATTTAAAGGTAGTACAATAAGATTTTATACATAAAATTACAACACACTACTAATAAAAGGTTTCGAAATTACTGTCAATTTTTACTAAAATTGAGTAATATACAGATTAAACCTTCTATTTATAGTAGTAAAATTTTCATAAATTATACTAGGAACCGGAAACCGGTGTGAGTCCGGAGCAAAAATTTAGAATAAAATTTATAAAATAAATAATTTATTAATTATACATTAAAGTAATAATATAACACTTAAAAAAAGTGTTATAAATTAAAACGATATGAAGAATAGTCATGTATTATATATAGCAAATTTAAGAATTATCTAAAATTTGGTAGAAAATGTATATTTATTTATAAAAAAAATTAATCAAGATAAAAAAAACTTCGAAATTTAAACTTTTAAAATCTATTAAAAACTGGTATTTTCAGGTAGGAAGTATTATATTATAGGACACTATGTATTTCGTATTGTACATATTACTGTATGTATCAATGTAAAATTAAAAAAATTTGAACACATGCATAATATAAATTTATTTTGTGGTTCAGGAATTAGAAACATGCAATTATTATATACCGGTAATTCAAATCGTCTCAATTATGGTACTAACATAATTTGATTCTAAGTGAAGTATAACAGGGTATATCAAGTACCCACTCGCGTTAGAATAGAGATTGTACCCGGGTAGACAGATATTTTATTATATGGCTATAATAAATTACCCGGTAGAGATTTTCTTGACGGTAAAATCTCTATGCTAATATACCCGATTTTCCCTTAAATTAATTAATAGAATATTTAAAGAAATTGAATGACATATCCTAAAAATGGATCAACTATGTTAGACTACTAAAAAAAATCAAAAATAAAAGGCTGATATAATTGTATATTATACAACAATAACAATACTTACTGTCACGTAGTTTCAGAATAGCCCTTGTACTTGGTTCGTGGCATTGGTGGCTGAAGATGAAAGTGCATATGAGTGCAGCCAAAGGAAAACCTGTAATCGGGCTTTCAATTATATTTTGCACCGGACATATTCCCTAAGAAATTAAATAGATTTTGTCCGGTACAAAATATAATTGAAAGCCCGATTACAGGTTTTCCATTGGCGGCTCTCATATGTAAGTAAAGAAATAAAGAGTCGGTTAGTAAAGTGAAGGGTTACGATTAAGGTCATTAAGGTCAAAGTTGTCATGTGAATGTTTCACGTGATGGTGTCGGGAATGATGATGGCAGTAATGGAGGAGATCGAATCGAAGTCGGGTTCTTTGATATGGCGTGTCATTAGCATAATATGACGAGATAATTAATGCAGATTAATTATCAATAGTAGAGATAAATGTATTAAATGTATAGTGTGATGAAGGAATGACGTAAATGATGTAATTTGAATGAAATATTAGAGTCAAAAGAATTAAATAAAGTAAGCTAGTCTTTCGCTCTTAGAGAAAATCGTCATAATAAAATTACATACATACCAACACGAATATTAGGTTTGGTAATACCTTCTGTTACAGCAAAGAGTGTTGTATCGAGTTAAATTTGTTGTAGCGTATTGCTACTGCTAACCCCGCGACACTTATATTAAAAGCAGTGAACTATAATTCAAATTCACTAAAGTAACAAATTAAAAGAAAAATAATACATTTAGTAAATAGCCATGATTTGAATAAATCTTCGTTTTGCAAAAATACAATATACATAGATATATAAACATTCATACTTATTTCGAAAATAACGAAAAATCAACAAAAATGCTAATAAAAAATAGCTGAAATTTGTGAAGTTAAAAAGGCAACTGATCATTTTTCAATGCAAACTAAATGCATAAAGTAGGTGAATCGGATCAGTGTAACACGGATGGTGTAATAATAGAGGTCATAGAGGGTGGAAAAAGAATTTTCACTTAACTTTAGTTTTAATTTTCAACTAGAAAAAATGGATACTCAATATGTTAGCCAAGATACTCAAAGAAAACGTGAGAAAAGAAAGAATGAAACACCTGAACAACGCGAAATACGCCAAATTCGGGATCGCGAAAAAAAACGCGTAAAGAGAGCTGAGGAAACATCAGAGGAGAGAGAAGCGCGTCTCACAAACTACCGTAATCGGTATCAAAAACAGCGAAAGCAAGTGGCAAGAGCTGATAACGAAAGCAGTGAACAAATGAGGCAAGATAACGGATTAAATAGTGAGGAACAGCAAGTTGAGAATAGTAATGTTCAAGATATGCAAATTAACACAACTACTCATGTTGAGGCATTCTCTTCCACTGTTCTGAACGAGTTCGATCGAGAGCTTCTACGTAAATTTCGAAATAAAATGGATAAGGTCAAATATGTTCTTTGTCCCGTATGTAATGAGAGCTTTCCAACAATAACTCTTGTCAGGGGGGAATGTCGTCGATGTTACTAGGCCTCCGCATGGGCCGGGTAGGGCCGGGTAATAGCAATACCCTAACCCTACCCGTTTGTGTAAGGGCTTAATTT